TTCCATCGTGTTCGCGACTCTGTCATCGTCGATATTCTTCTGCAGATCGAGGAGGTTCCACAAGAGCACGTAGACCAGAATTCGACGTCTGCGGACCCGGAGCCTTCATTCGACACGGAGTCCACCATCGACCTCGATGGGAACTCCGCCGTCAGCAGCCCAAACTTGTTCAGCTCGTTCTTGCAGCAGATAACATCTGTCTTACGGGAACCCGCTGCCACTTTCAGCCCCGAGCCCGCACCGCAAGCCAAGTACCGATACGTCGAGCTCCCAGCCATCACGCCCGTCGGCCTCGGCGCCGCTCCCTTACCCGACGTCCGCGAGGCGCCGAACCCCCACACGGCGGGCCTCATCGAAACGCTGTCCTGGCAGAACTTCTACTTCGCAGACCAGGCGTGCGAGGCCAAGCTGCCGGACGCGGCGCCCAAGATGCACCACGTCATCGTCATGCGGCGCGGCGGCTGCTCGTTCTCCGAGAAGCTGGCCAATATCCCGTCGTTTGCGCCCAGCCGGCACTCGCTGCAGCTCGTGATCGTGGTTTCGGACGACGCGGATGGGGATGGGGATGAGGAGGACCGGTGGGGGGTTAACTTCATCAGGCCGCTGCTTGACGAGCCGCAGCGGACTCCTGCGGGTATTTTGCGACATCGCCCTATTGCTTTGCTTATGACGGGGGGCGGTAATCATGCGTATGAGACGCTGCGGATGGCGCGGAGTTTGGGGCTGAGGCGGAAGTACCATGTTGAGAGCCAGGGGCTGAAGATTGGGAATCTGATTGTGCTGTGATGCATTGTGCACCTACCTCGTGGGTGAGATGGGACAGAGAGTGATGGATGGAGGGTTGTGTACCCGGATTCTGTAGGCACGAGGTTACGATGGTTCTGGACAGACAGGGATGCATGGTGGCGCTGGGGGTGTTGTTCTTGGGCGCTGTCTTACAAGTGAGTACATAGGTGCGTACTAAGGTACAGTACATACATAGGGGGAGGCAGTAAGTGTTTGTACATAAAATCTAGTGTCGATATTCGAGAGGAGCAATTACAAGTCACGGTTGAAGGACTGAATGTTGCGCTGACTTCTTGGATTTGTTCTTGTTGGTGGCGTGCTACTTCCGATTACTCTTGGGCTGTGTGGCTTCGGACTTGGCCACGTGCGTAGAAGTAGAAGCGAGCCCGTATGCACCCAGTTTTGAACAACACCTTACCGTACAGTAGATTGGATATCAATAGCCCTGACCTTTCCCGCTTCAACGTCCAGTAGCTATATTCGTACACTTCAGTACATACAAAAACCAAAGTCCACCAAAACATCACGAACGACCATGAGATCTAGAATGCTCCGTGACTTACCCATACATCAAAACCCGGAGTCTTGGCTATGGAAGTGCGGACGACCAACTTTATAGTGGTACATAACTTAAGATCCACTCCACCGTTTCCCTGCAAAAGATTTGCCAGATGAAGATTCTGGCGGTGGGATATCAATATCTGTCAAACCTAGTCCTCCAACGTGATCGCGCGTCATACTTGTCTAATTTAGTAGGGAAGTTGAGCGGGTCATATACGTCGCCGCTCCGTTCGTCACCAGCATACTCTGGCGGCGGCTTCCGTTCCCAGATATGGCGGTAGACCTTGGTAAGAGTAATGGGTTCCTCCGGATCAACACGGACAAGGTTATGTTCATCAGGCCGGATAGGCAGCGGCGTGGCGCTTTGCGGCGACTCGGATTGGAGAAAGTCGAGCAGTTCTTGCTTCTGGGTGTCGAGAAGTTGGCATATCCTATACGTCACGTCCCTCCAGTCCGGATGGATGTACACCGCACCAGAGTCTGGCGTGGCCCTGTCGAACAGAATCACGCCGCCGAGGATCCGGTTCTCGGCCCAGAATCCTACCATGTCGGCGACACCCTCGGGGTATTGCTCATAGTTGGTATACCAACTATGACAGAAAAGAGTCGGCAGTGGTCCGTTGGGATTAAAACGCCACCACAATTTGTTTTCTTTTGGAGGTGCCCAAGATGCAACGTTATCTGCCTTGTGACGGCTGGTGTCCAGGTTGAACAACATAACGGCAACCTGGTGAATCGAAAGCGCAGTGATTTCTATCAGAAGCGTCTTGAACAGCTGGGAGCCTGGTGAGGCGGCCTGGTATCTTGACAGGACCTGATAACATCGGTCAGCTGTACGACTCAGTCTTGCAACTCGGGGGTGAGGCTTGCAGTTATCTCGAATTGTAATTGAGTAGGAGCAAACTCGGAATACAAATTTCTTGTTTCCTCGTTAACTCCAGGGCAGAGCTTCTCATGCTGGAAAGCCGGGTGTTTGGCATCCATAAGGGTGTCACAGTAGGCCTCATCGTAGACAGCTGCAAGAGGTAAGCCATCGACGATCTGGCAAAACGTGCTCTCAGCAAGGTCGGTAGAAAGTATGTTCAGAATGGCTTTGGTGACGGGAACGCGATGTGCTTCATCCAAAGTGTCCAGCGAGACTTTCTTGACACGGGTAGTGTCATCCGCATTGGAAGCGTTGAGTATCTGTTCTGGTTCTGCCATGCTTTCATGGAATATTGTCCTTATTGTCGAGTTGTCAAAATTCAATTCAATAAACAATTGAGAAGGATTGAGAAGGGACCAAAGGGCTGAGGCGCTAAATGAACCAAATAAACGAAATGAACTCGAAGGACTTGCGCTTACTTATGACGTCACTGGGCGCCTACGCATTGTATTCCTTCAAATAAGTACCTACTAGAGGGTCCAAGCTCCTAGCGGACCCTCTTCGCTGCGCTCAGAGGGTCCCAAAACCTTGAGAAAAATTAAATTCAAAGATTTTTTATGTATCTTTTCTTTTGGTGCAAGTCCCATACAAAATTCTTTCTCATGGTTTTGGGACCTCTATTTAGTAGAGGGAGAAGTTAAGCGCACATCCATCATTTGCCGCTGTACTTCCTAGGAAGGGTGTATTACCTAATCGGAAGGAGGGGATGAAGTCGAGCTTAGATTCAACAACCACAAATCATTTCTTTCACCACCAACTCCTAGTCCTACATGTAGTCAGGCGTTTGCTATTATTCGCCAGGTCCAGTTCTGATCTTCTTCGCCTTGAAAATGCTTCACCCCAGCCCTCTCTGCGTCCATCATCAGCAATCGCTATCTTCATATTGAAACAGCTTTACTGACAATTGTACTATCTATCCCTTCGTATATATATTGACAAACGAGAAATGGCTCTCCAACAGACTCCCGTCATTCCAAACCTCCAGCTTTACACCGATGAAGACCAACCCAAAGGGGAGCATCTACAACTACCGCAGAACTCCACCCGCTACCAGATAGTAGAAGCCTTCGTCCATTTAGGTCTCTGCCTTCTGGAATCTCCCCAAGGCAGGGAAAGCCTTGCAAACACTGCGACCAAAATCGTACAGGAAAGAGATGCAAATCGTCAGCCAATACCGCACCTGTATAACAAACCCATCGAAGAGATGCCCAAGTGGATTTCACTGTTTTTGTCGTCTATGAGGAACAACTTCCCCATGACATATCTCAGCAAAATGGAGGGTGAAGCTATGGCAGTGAGGCAGGACGGAGTCAATGACATGGAACAGTTTCATCCCAGAGTTTGCGGGTATATCAATATCAACAGGACCATTGTCAACAACATGATCGTCTGTCATCAGAATCCCAACTCGGCTGACAACTACTCGCGCTTCAAGTTTCAGATGACTTCTCACGTACTACGCAGACTTTACTTTCCCCATCCGTTTGCTTCCTGGTACCGAGACGACCCGGGCAGTGCTCCGTCAAACTACCAAGGAAATGTCAAGTGTTCGGTGGCCGTCTCGCAACCCTCCAGCCACCTCATCACCTCTGCCAGACGGGACAGCCTATCGACGCCTGCCCAGTCAAGATAGCGCTTCAGCATATGTTGATGCAACTAGCTCTAGTCCATCAAGCCAGCGATACGGGGAACAACGATCCCGTTAGTTCTCTGTAATTTGATATTCTACATGCATACTGGATTTGGAAATTAGTATTACTTCCTTGGGGGCTTTTCTCTAGCGTACCTTAGCTATTGTTTTCTCTTTCTAATTCACCTTGTTGGTTCACGCGGAATAGAAATTTAGCTGATTTACTGTAATAATATTCATCAACAAGGCAATTTAAAGTCTAGAATGAAGGCTTGCTAATAATTTGAGTGAGGGTGATCCGCTCGATTATGGATTATGCTATCTAAAAAGCTGACGAAGCTATTACATTGCCAATAACCTGGGACTTTATCCGGTCTCTCGACAATCTGGCCTGTGGAATAAGCGACTTACCGCTGTCGAAATTATATCGGCGAGTAAGGTATTAGTAATGTTGACGACGGTCGTAGTAGTTTGTGGTCTCGGCCTGGCTCTTGCGACCTCTCCCGGGTATTGCTGTTCCGGCAACGATCAATATATATAGTACGGGTGGGTGTAATAAAAAATGAGTCTTGCTCTTCTGAAGAATCTCTAGTGGCACGCTATATGGCGTTCCCGCGGGCTTCTAGATCGTCGTGAACACCAAGTAGGGGCAACAATAACCTGGGTCCGGTCAACAACTTTCTTAGTTAGATCTCTGCCTTTGCCATTTATCTGAGTGAACTATCACACCTCACGACACCAAATGCTGTTATGACTATTGGCTACGATAGTACCTGGTCCTCTAGGTCTGGAACCCGTGCCGCCCAATGTCTCGCCAAAAAGCCTTAGGGGGATGCCCAAGAAGATATTTGCTGGAGAAAGTACGCAAGTATAAGGGGCCGGGTGTTGTATGTTTTTAAAGGTCCTTCTTTTTTGCTCAGGTACTTGGCCAGCTGGGTTATTTTTACCAACCACACGAACATGACAGACAAGTCGCCGAATGAGTACGCGTTCGAGGCCATGGTATGCATCTTGCATCCAGCTCCCAGGGTAAATTCAGGATGGATGACGTTTCAAACAAAAAGGAAGCGGCACAAGAGGAATCGAACCTCTCAGTGTTGGACTCGCGGGGAATCGAACCCCGGACCACTCCCACGCTTAAAACGACGGGCCCGAGCAAGAAAGCAAGGGTCGCCACGTGCTAAGGGAGTATTATACCACTAAACCACAAGCCCTAGATGATCTACCTGGAACAATTGCAGGTAAGATCGACGATTTCGCCTTTTGTGAATTGTGTTGTGATATTCGTAGTTGTATTACGTATAGGGTTGAGGATAATGGGATATGCGTTTGCCCTAATCGACGAGGTGGAGTCTGATTAATAAGTCCCATACATGTCCTTGTGGCCCGTGGGAAAATAGATTGGGCAGTTGATTGACACGATATGGATAAGCGAAGGCGACTCTGCCGATACCGATGTCGTACGGTTTCTGCTGCTACCTACCCCATGCATGAAGAGCTTCGGCTGGTATGTCCATACACACATAATCCGTAGATGCGCTCTAATAAATGCAGCTAAACAATCCAATACGAAGTAAAAGACGTAAAGATCGACTAACCTCAAAGACAAAACCTCGCGATATGACGTGAGTGACTGGGTTCCCCGAGCATCGAACGTTAGGCATCTTAAGCGAGACGCTATTCATACAATACACGATTTGAAGCTCAATTAGATGTCGGCTTGAGAGTCGCTGATACGTGCTGAACAGGCGATATGATTGCCACCTGTCTACCTGCCTACCTAGGAGGTAGATATGTGCAACGTATTGGCGCTGTACGAAGTGTGACTTCGAGATATCTATCCAAATTGAAATGTTGAAGCCAAGACAATCTGTGGTGAGCTAATAGAGCTAGTAGCAATATTCTGATGATACGGTAGATGCGCTTTAACCACATCTGACTTGAGAGCCATGCTACGTTTGCAGCCGCTTACATAGCTGCGTACTAGTACGGTGAAGACGCTATCGCTTAGCAAGGCAGCTGGTGAGCTGGATTTCATATGGATAGAGAAGAGGGAGAAAAAGGGCAAGTCTTCGATATCAGATGAGACATGCGGCCGGTCCCTCGCACGTGTGGTCGAAAACGTCAACTTGCAGCTGCAAAAAGAAATGGCTGGTGATGTTCTGGACCTTTCAGTCCGAGACCATGGTACGACATTAAGAAGTTGACGAGCAAAACAAGGCCTTAATCACCTTGCATTATCAGACAGACAGCCGCATCTGCTGTCAGTGCAGATACGAGAAGATAGCTCCCCCGCTACCGCTATAGTAGCTGTACCTACCGCCTATGATCGCTCACTCTCCAGGCCTCGGCGGCATTAAAGGTGCAGCAAGCCGCTAAGACAAGCCGAACCCGAACGAAACCTCACCACTCCCGTCTTTGGTTGTTTAGTAAACATCGTGACCTCGTGATGATTATTTTAACCTCAACAAGCTCGAAAACGATCAGGTCAATTTAGTAAGTGTTCAGCCTCGTAGTCGCATCGCGAGCTTACGAAAACGGCAATTCGATTTGATATCTTTGATAACCAAATTGTTGGGCTATCTTCTGGAAGGCGGTATGTAACCTCGCCTAAGGTCGAGACCCATGGCCCCCCCATGTCTCCCATGCAAACGCCGCCGTTATGCAAATGCAGCATCTTCCTGTAAAGTGACTCCCGCCTTATCGGCCACATGCGAGTGACCATTGGACGCCAGCAAATTTCACATTCCCACGATGTTTTCTTGTGCCTGCCCGCCCGCCGGGTGTCCCGCTCCAAAATAACGCCATGACCTTTGCCCGCCCATGATTATGCTAGAACCGGTAGAACCACTAGAAAAAACGCCGATATCATGCTGAGTTTTTGGAGCCGATGAATGTGCTCTTCGAAGGCGAAGAAAAAAAGAAGACACCTTCTTCTCGTGTCATCACCGCCTTGTGTTGTACTTGACTGCTGAGCTCAGCGGCTGTTCTGCTTCTCCCATCGCTACCACAACTGTGTTCTTGCAAACTCCGTAGCTGCAGCACTCTTCGGCTGGCATCGATCCGCGGAGAATTGCATCCCGTTTTGACTAGGAATATAGATTAGTAAAGTAAGATAATTTTGAAGTAATTTTTCAACGCAGACATACATCTGGACAGCGTATGGGAGATGCACCAGCCAGCGCTCCCAATAGCGAGAGGGCTGCGATGATGGGTAATAAGATGTCGAATTGCATCGTTATTGGTCTCGTCGTATACGCCGTGGCTTAGGACCAGAAAAATCCAGATGAGCGTTGGAACAAGACTGGAATGCGGCGAGGCGGGTTTTATTCGAAGGCTAGTTTATTTGCGTTTGGAAGGATTTGATGTGACGCGCAACTGGCGGAATCCTTCCTGACGATCTCTATCAAGGGGGAAGAATGGACGTTCAAACAGAAACAATAACAGAGAAGGATTCTCATATACTAATACGTAGGCGGATAAGTCAATTGATGAGCGGTGGTAACTATTATATATTTGACATAAAGAAGAACGCCGGATGGAGACCGGCCGCCAGGCTAGACTCTAGAGTACCTAAGTGTACTTAGTACACAGCTCGGGGATATTATCCTGCAGCTTTTCTTCGCCCTAAGCCAGCGTTTTCCAGCTGAATGCCCGATTACTTACTGTACCAGGTATATTACATAGTACCTACTGGTATTGCGGCTACTGCAACCAAGGAGGAACCGTCCATGAAAGTCCCATAGGCCCATAGGTTGACGCGGCTGAAGGGCCGATGACCAAGGGTTCTGTGGCTGTGGTCTCATTTACTAGGGAGCATTACGAAAAGCTTGACTTACGCCTCATGGGACTGACCGACCGACCAACAAGGTATGTATGTACACACAACAGATATGCTGCGTCCGGAGACTGCTGACAGTCGGCCGTCATTTGCGTGCCAGTGGCTGTGAAATGGGAATTATAAAAAGACGGGCAAAAAGTGCACGCGAGCGAAGTATGATTGGCATTTGGCTGAAGATCCCAGTTTAAGCGAGCGTCCCAAGTTCCAATAGGCTTTCTTTAGTTTTATCAGCAGTAGTACTCGTAATAGCTAGTCAACTGCTTAGAATCACAGTCCGTGTTGTGAGAGAGAGGGTCCCGTATTACATTACGAAATAAAAAGTCCTTTGAGAAATAGCCTTTTGTGCCGGGTCAACCGAGTCCCGCAAAGAAATAAAATGTTGTGATTGGGTGACGGTGATGATGCCAGATTGCTTCGAGAAGTAAAAAATAGATCATATGGCAGCAACTAACCGTATCTGGTGATTTGAATATTCAGGGTCATGATTGGGGCTGAGAGTCTGAGACCATAGGACCGGGAGCGGGATGGAAGGGATCGCGCCATACAGAAAAGCTTGATACTTTACATTAAAAGTCTAGATGAAGTGATCATCGGGCTTATATAATCCTAAAATATACATATTTACGGAATTGTTTGTCCTCATTACCCCAAAATCCAAATCCTACCTACCTTTACATCAGGTACCAATTTATGAGTATGGAATCGATATCTATTTTTCATCAAGGCTCTCCCTCTACACCTACTTTACAGGTACCAAATGGAGAAGCCCCTAAGAAGCTTCAATTTCATCGTCCGCCTCAGTTGGCTGAAGAAAGTGCTTCGAGTTTCATCTTTTCTTCTCCGAAAGTAGGAAGGTATAATTAGACGAGGCTCTCTCTACACATGATCTAACCATGATGCAAAACGAGCTGCGAATAAGGGTAATCCCTAGTGGCGTGTTTGGGGAGATAGAGCCCTTACATGGCAAGGAGGCTGAGATCTCCATGTTGGCCTAACAAGGGGTGGTCGGCAAGCCGTAGCGAGCAAGCGCTTGCTGTAAATAATCCCTGAAGCATGCGTCCTACATTTACAGATTCGCTATCATCAACCATATCATCCCACCATGCTCCCAGTATGTCCAAAGCAACAATCTCGTAGCTGAATACGATCACAGCGACCGGCGTCAGCTTCAACAAAGAAGGAAACGTGTGCCCACGGAAAAGCTCTCGACTGGACGAGGAGGTATTCGTATTTGCAAGTTGCAACCCGTCTACCCCGTCGTCTCCCTTGCCTTGAACTCTTTTAAACTGTATTTCATTGATATCTCGACTCCCTTGCGTCGTTACCGACCAACCGTTCTTCACTGCCCGCAAGTCCCAGGACCGCTGCGCCGGCTGCCAGTTGACAAGTACGGCCCGGAAGAGGACCGGTCAATATTATACGATGTAAGCCGTGTCCGCGTCCGGTCAGGTAGCTGATTTGCGCAGACCAGAAGCCCCGACAACAGATTAAACCAGTCTCTTAGCCAATTTGAAAGGAAGATTAAGTTGAACAGTATCCGAGATCAGGTGCGTGCGGAGATTGTCCTCGACCGGCGCCGAACTCTAGTCTTGTCGTTCCGTCAAGACACAGGCAATGCCATACCATGCATTATTAACCAAATGCAGGCCCGGTGTTTGCCAGTCAGATGAAGATATGCTACGGTTGGTTGAGGGACTATCGCGTCTGAGAAATCATGTTCTGAAGGTGCACAAGGTTATCCGAGATGAAGTCACTGGATACCTCATACCTCCTCATCTTGATCATCATCATGGACCACATCCATGGTAACTTGCCCGACAGATGGCCTGGTTTCAACTTCTCCGCGCAAGTCGAGATAGCCTTTTCAAGCTGCTGGACTGGTTCGAAACATGTGGCATGCTACCTCCTTATTTCCTAGCCCTATGGCATAAACCGCCGCATGGCATTGGTGTACGGGAAGCATCCCATTCCATTCTGTATGGATGGACGAACGTACGAGAGATCATCAAACAGGCTGATCGACGGTGACCTGAAGCAAGAAGACACGAATCCTCGAGTTGTTTTTAATGTATTGGACAAGAGGTGAGAGAGTAGACGCATAGGCGCGAGGAGGTTAGCGACGCAGAGTACGGAGTCTTCTGGCTAGTCTATGCTCAACAGGTCAAATTGATCAGCAACTTTACTTACCGCCGTCATCAGGGATGCCCCTTGCTCAGAGACGGATAACCACCTTAGTGCAACGCCTACATATATGCCAACCTATCACGTCGCCCGCTGGTGGATGGTGATATCGCGCATTCCGGAACGATCCAGGCTCGTCATACAGAGGACTGGTAGGACCCGTCCTACATCCCACGAAGATGGGATGCCACT